TTTTCTTTATTATTAAATATAAAATTTTTAGTAACTAGTTTATTAATAGAAATGATCTACATACCCTCTACCCTTAACGTCTTACATTTTTTTTTTAGCAAATTTATGAAGATAATTTGCACTTGAACTCAGTATTATGCTCTTGTATGGGAGGCTGTTTGTCTTCTGGAGTGTGATTTGGTGCGCTATGTACACTTCTTGTTAGTTTTACAAAGTCATTATTGAAATTTGAAATTTTGTTAAAGGAAATTTCGAGTTTGTGAACAAGATTGGGATACTGTTGTAACAACTTTGGCGTCGGGAGAATATCTTTTTGAAAAAGTTTTGCTTATCCTTACAACTAAGCTCTTGAGTAATGGTGATACGAAACCCTCCTTCATTCTTGATATACCAATGACCAAAATAGATTTCATCCGTTGGAATACTTTCCCTATGTTTTCCATGTCATCACCTGTAAACTGATATGACCATTGTACACCGTCTGCCTCACTAATGTCAACATCCAAGTTCCATTTATTATTATTTTTTTTTGTGGGCGATGCTTATTCATCCTCATGATATTAGAACTGCCTTCTGAAATCGGACTTTGAACGAATCAAGATAGTAACAAATGAAGCTTTCAAGAAATTGACATTTTTCACTAAGGAATTTCGATACTCCACAGTTAAAGTATTCGCGCGTGTATGTGAGTCCAACCCGACGTTTGCCCAGATATCAATAGTAATATTGAAATTTCGAGATTCTTTTTTATCATCTGTTTCAACTTTATCCTCAGATGAAACCATAATAACCGTTATCATCATTATCACCACCATTATCGTCGTCACTACCGTCATTATCGTCACCATTATTATCATCATTATCATAATCGTCGTCATCAGCACATTTTTATTTTTTCCATGTTCCTCCAAGGTTCTAGTATTTGTAGCAGAAGTACATTGGCTACTTATATCTTTGGCATTTACAAGATGGTATATGACTCCGAACTTATCATCAAACAAGCTTGAAATTTCATTCATGACTGTTTTATCTAGAGGCTTGGCAACCCAACAAGCAATATATGGCATAGAATAGTCATTCTGAAAATCGGGACCTATAGCATATACAAGTTGTGATTTCAGTATACGATCAATGTAATCTTTCCTTTTTTTAAGTAGGGAAAATAATTTCTCAGTTTCATTATATACGGTATCCGAAGGTTTTTGGAAGACAGTTGAACGCACTGATATGGACTCTGAAATATTAATCCAACCTTCAGTTTCGTTACTACGATCCACACCATTATAATCCTTGAATTTATCATGGACGGTGATAACGGACATAAAATATTTAATACGGTCGTACTTTCCATATCAACAAGTTTACTAGGATTTAGTTTTGATAATTTTTCACTGATTTCCAAAGTATTAAATGGTTTACTAGTGTATAAATTGTTTAATTTTTCTTTGATTATTGGTAAATTTTTGTTAATTTCATCACTTTCTAAAAACTGCTTTTTAATTTCATTTTCAGAATTTTTATTCAAAATTTCCAACCATTCATTTAATTTAGTAATAATTTCATCAGTTGTTGACCGTTTTTTTGGATTTGAATCTATGCATCGATTTGCTAATTCAACATAATAATTAGGAGTTCTAATTCCAAATTTTGGTCGCAATCCTTTACAAATCATAAGCACAAGATCTGTATCAAATTTATGATCATCAAAAGGCCTCTGTCCAGTTGTCGTACGGTTCTTTTTGAAACTGTTCTGGAGCGATGTAGGGCAAGACACCAAGAATATGATCTTCATGTTCTTTCTCATCAAGTGATTTTGATGAACCTAGATCGGCAATATATGCTTCATAATCTTCTTTTAACAAGATATTTCCCGAATGTAAATCTCGATGTAAATATCTTTTATCATGAATACGATCAAGATTAGATATAATACCATGAAGTATCTTTAATTTAATTTTCCATTCAAACTTAAAGATATCAAAAAGATTTTTGCTTAATGAACCGTATTTGCGTAGAGGGTTAAAATATAATCGCCCGTATTTTCGTCTCTTGATATTCCTAGATATTGTTCTAAGCTATGACAAGCTTTTAACTAAAAAAAAAACAAAATAAATTATTTTATTTAAATTATTTAAATAAAAATAAATTTCAGTTATTGACGACTATACTATTTTCTCATATTCGTATATAGAGATTCGACCCGCTTACCCGCCAACCCGTGACTCGTGATTTTGATGTCTAACCCGGAGTAAGTTATGCTTAACCGGTTAACCCAGTTAATGGTCATTCGATTTTTTTTTTTTTCTTTCTTACTTTTTTATTTTTCGTCAATTTCCTTTTATTCATTATATGCTTATAAGTTTTTCAACGCCAGTATTAAATTTATCATTGGGTTCAATATTATAGAATAAAATATTCATATTTGAGTGCTACAAAACTAAAATCTGTAATTTACAGATCAAACCCCGAAAAATATAAATTTAACGCACCATATAACGATAATATTGTAAAACTTTTGACTTGCCGCTTGTTCGAAGTATTTTATAAATAACCAGTAACCCGAGTTACCCGGGTTACTAGATTATTTTTAACAAATCGGTTTAGTACCCGGGTAAGGCTTTTTTAGACGGGCGGATAACCCGGAGAAGAAAGTTATAACGGGTCGAATCTCTATTCGTATATTATGTCATCAATTTAAACTTTTCCTTTTTTTAGAATGAGGCCATTGTTGAAGATAAAATATAAAATGCAAAAATAAGAGAATTTTTAGAGCAGTCGTCAATAACATGACTGTATAATAATAAAAAATACCTCTTTTAAGAATGGTTCTTTATTCTTATTAGAATCATTTACGATCTTGATTGCTACTTCTTCATATGACCCATATTGATTTAAATATTTTGTTCTAAAAACTTTAGAAAATGCTCCTTTACCTATTTCTTCGATATTTTCAAATTTTTCATATGGTATCCAATGAAAAAATTCTTTTTTTCCGCCAGTAGTATTAACTTGTTCAGTGATAGCAGATTTTAAATACCATTCGAAAGCAATATCTATATCCTTTTCAACAACAACTCCTTTTCGGTAATATTCACCAACATAGTACATTCCATCAGGATATCCCATCTCCGCTGACTTTTTATAGTATTCAAATGCCTTATGATCATCCTTTGTGGCTCCCCATCCTTCTTCATAACATCTTCCAACATTAAATGCACCAATAATATGTTCCATTTCTGCTGATTTTTATAATATTCGAATGCTTTTTTTCATTTATTTCAACTCCATTTCCATTTTGATAACAATATCCAACTCAATTTATTCCATTCAAATGCTTTTTGCTCATCTCCAAATCCACTTCGATAACAATTTCCAACTCCCCATATTCTACGAACATAACCCATATTAGCAGTTTTTTGATAATATTCGAATGCTTTTTGTTTATGTTTTTTGACTCCAATTCCATGTTCATAACATTCGCCAATATTATATATTCCTCTAATATCACTCATATTAGCAGCTTTTTGATAGTATTCGAATAACCCGACCCGACCCGACCCGTTCGCAGCACTAATAAAGGGACATCCCGAAAGTCATTCGTTTGACCTGTGCTTTTTATTTTGAATCATACGAATTGGTATGGTTAAAAAATATTTATTTATTTATTTTTTTATTTTTTAATACAATGTTTTAAAACATGGGTGGCTGAAATTGCCACAGTGATGAATTAATTTCATGTTCGTCGACCGTATAACATTTTTATTTTTGATCGAAATATATATGCGAATTCAATTTTCATAGTATCATATCAATGACTATGTTTTAAAACAAAAAAAATTTAAACCAGGTTTATATTGCTTTAAAACAATTTGTTTTAAATAATTTGCCATATACATATAAATAAGTACACACTTGAGTCATTTATTTTATCCGAAATTAGCCTATAGTTGTTAGACGAAACCTTGAGGTTTCGCGCTGACGAAATGCGAAACCTAGTTTC